CCCTCCAACAAGAACTGCTGTATTCCAGCACCATTTACAATCTGTACTTTGGTAAGCTCGAGTTACGTTGATATAATACATCAGCAGGAATTCTGAGAGTGTGCACAGGCCATGACTTTTCGGGATGAATCTGATTGCATTTACAGCCAGATATTCATGGAAATGACCGTAATTACGTCCAGAGCGTAGTAAAAAATCTCACAGTGAGAGTGAGAATGCCCTGAAGCTACCAATGACATAATCAAGGTAATGTAAATAAATAACCACACCCCTTCGCTGCACATCTCAGCGGCCCATGTTCGCACTCGCCTTGCACTGCCAGTCCTCTGTTGGGCCGCTTTTCCGCCACTCTGTCACGATTGGCCATCTTCACCCGAACAGAACGCCTAGTCATTATAGCTATCTATATTTATTCGGACGACGACGGTAGGCTGTGGTAAGGTCAGTCTGCAGGCCTACCGTCGTCACCCGAATAAATATAGCTATATTGACCAGGTGCAGATCAGAAAAATACCCACGTACATCTGCAAACTTTTTATCAACGAGGGCGGGGTCTTAAGCATGGCCTACTGGGGCAGATCCGGGAAAGCATAGTCGCGGCACAGTGGTACTGTTAGGTTTACTTGGTCGCAGGAGAGGAATAGCCTTTCTCCATCGAAACGAGCAAGACTATAGCCAGGGCAGAATGCTGCTATTGTCCTCCACCTAATGGAATGATGACAATGACGGTATACTCTGCGTCTGGATACAGGGATAATTACCTCATGTTTTATCACTGGATCCAAGGAAGACGGGTAATCTCACAAAATAACACTCGTATGTATTGAGCTCGTAATGGTACTTCACAATTACAAAGTTTTTCTACAGCTAAAGAATAAGCATGTTCCTGTGCCATCATAGAAACATAATCTAATCGGTAGCCATCTCCACATTTAGGTGCAGACTGTGCAGTTTGGCGTCGACACGTTCAGATGCATTCAGAAATTTCACATGCATTCTACGTCCAGTGAGCTTCAGTTGTGGAGAGCCTTAGCCCCTTTTCCTTCTTGTGTCCTTTTTTTTTGTTCTTCGTCTTTTGGTTCTCTTTCCTCTATTTTCTTAGTTTAAATTCAAGACCGAAAATACTAATGTCAGCCCCTTTGTTTTTCCAAAAACCAAGTTTATTACACTAATCGGGAAATGCGCGCAGCGTCCAAGCTGAGAAGGGGAAGCCAAAGTGACCGAAAGAGGGGACCAAAACCAAGCATCAAAGTCGCTGCAAGCTCCCACTGTCACAGCGGACGGTAATATTGAAACTGCTGCTCAGGGCATACTCGCTCCAGGCAGGACCTTTTCTTAGCTCCAGGTGTGATTGCGGTCCCCGATGCATCCAGGTTCATCGAAGTCGGATTCATTTGTGAAAAGTGCTACTGTGAGTAACCTCGCTCCTTCCGTTGGGGCACCATCCCAGATAGAGAACCGAGCATCTGTCACCCGGTTCAATCCCAGGTTGCTGTAGTTGAAAAGCAGCCATCCTCGTCTATTGTAATCCAACTTGCCTCTCCATCCCCAGAAAAAAAAAAAAAAAAAAAAAGTTTCCCCTTGTGGCCCCCCCCCCCCCCCCCCCCCCCCCCCCCCTGGCCGCCTTGTTGAACCAGAAGACCATTCACTGGCAACAGAAAGCAAGCAACAAGTTATGTCTACGGCTTTGGGTCTCGCCGCACGGCACACGAAACGAAAACGAATCGAGTGCATCTGCCCACTGAAGGTGGCAAAATACAGTCGTTACTATTTATAGAAAACCGATGAACCTCGCTTTTTGTCTGGGGGAAGATACATTCGTTTCTGTTTGTGCTTGGTGTCCCACCTGAAAACCCCACTGCGAAGTCGAACTTGCAGCAGCAATCAAAGCCCATGTTTTTACTATTTAAGTTTTTAGTTCTTTTGACAACAGTATATAATTCGATAATAATTTAATAAAATAATAATATCTGCATTCCAATTTCCCAACCCCATGGGGTCAACGGGCATCTCACCAAAAGCTGAAAAGGAGAACGCCTCGACTCCATTTCACGAAATAGAAATCTGAAAAATTGAAAATTCAAAAATTCAGTTATGGTATTGCGCCTGGATTCAGCAGATAAGCTACGACGCAATCCAAGTTTCTGGAACTTGGTCGAATCATCAAGGTAGTCTCTTATTATGGTGTTGGATCCTGAGTCTGTATGGTTTTGTCTTTTGTTTTCGTCGTCAGCCCTTATTTGTGACTTTGGGCCTGGCTCTCCACAAGCACAAAAGACAAAAAGATAGGGCGGTGTATATTTCCATGTTCTAGCAGAAGATTCGTTCTCACTTTGCACATTTGGTGAGTGGTGGAGCAAGGCAGGGGACAATGCTCCAATCTAATCGTGGGGAGCAACACGGCTGCGAACCCGGCCCAGCATCCCTTGTCAGAACACAGAAGATTTTTACGAGCAGAAGATTCATTCTCACTTTCAGTCGAACTACTGGGGCCATTACCACCGGGCTTGGACTAAAGACGATGGACGATTGACGACATGAAAGATTCAGGAACAGTCCTAATTCACTACTCAAGCTCTACGGAGGCACGAGAACAGATGTATCAAAAAGCCTCCCAATGCGTGACCCATTCCATCGCACCTAAGACTACAACCAGCATGACTATTTTCAGCACAAACCCGAGCTCTACCAGGCGTCATGCTCCTGTCGGCTCCGGCCAGCATTGCTCCAGCTCCGACCCCCGATGGCCACTGAGACTGCCCCCGCAAACAGCCTCCCAGATACCTCTACCGGGCCTCACGTCCCGACAAACTAGGTCACAGAGTTGCGCCACCTGGTTCCAGCTCCGGCTCCGGCCAGCGGTGCCCTTAGCGGAATCACAGATGACTTTCTGGATAGTGCCTATTCCTTCAAGAGGGATCACCCCTCCCTCCCAATACCCCTCCTGCCCCCTCAGCCCTACACTGTCTCCGCCGAAATGAGGCTCCCGCTCTGCCTCAACCCCAATGTAGGACCAACCTCCTCCCCCGCTTTCCCCAGGGGCATGCAGTTCCCTCCTAAAGCATGCCCCCCCACCCATTCCCCATTTCTGACTCCGCTGGGGTTGATATTGATGTTGACCCCACACACCAACCCCTGTCCCAGAATAGGGCAAACCCCTAATGCCGCCCCTACCTCTCTGAGACACTAACCCCCCGTCTCTTTACTGCTTCCACCTGATGTCTATTTGCCGGCGAGTAACCTGATATCCTAGCTGTGTCGAGTTAAAGCAAACCATAGACATGGACCAACGCCATGCACGGGACAGAGAGGACGGTCCCATCGCCAGTTGTGTGGATCTCCCGGACGCTCATTGGCAGGAGTTGACATGCCAAAGGGTCTGCTGTGTTCAGGGTACTCCAAGACCCAAGAGACACAGACCAGTGTGAGCTGCAAGGGTGGTGGAAGGTGGAAGAGGCTGCATCCACTCCACCAGTTTCAATGGTGGCCCAAGGAAAACTGCCCCCGCTCTTTCTGCCAACAAGAAACTGTATAATCCCTGTATGCAAAACGGTATCTCAACCCCAACATTCGAGGGGACTCTCTGTTTTGGATCCGAGCCGTCAAATTGCTCCATTGCTGGCTAGGTGGATTCCATGGACTCTGTTGTTGAAGGGCCCGTTTCGACCACGTGGCCACATATGAGTCATCTCTTTCGGTTTACCATTTTGAATTGGCAAGTCATTCACAATAATAGCGGTTCTTAGAAGGGCATACTTGTTACGAAAGGACCAGCCTGTCAGTTGGGACGTGGAGTGTGAACAGACCTTCGTGACCCTCAAAGACGCTATGGCGACGGCACCTATTTTGATCCGACCAGACCCCTCGAAACAGTTCATTCTTATCACGGACTAGCAACCGGAAGCTATTTCCGCTATTCTAGCGCAGAAGGGGAACGATGGTCGATAACATGTCATCAAGTACTCGTCGCGCACGGTGCCAGACGAACGCAGGAATGACTCAGCACCCCAAGGCGAATGCTATGCGGTAGTCTGGGGAATCCAGCACTTCCATCCGTATCTGTACGGGCAGAAGTTCCGCCTCGTAACGGATCATGAGCCCCTGCTGGCCTTAGAGAAGCTCACTAATTACACGGGCATGATTGGACGTTGGGCGGTACGACTACAGGAGTACGACTTCGACATCATCCACTGGAAGACAGAGAGGCACGACAACGCAGACGGACTGACACGTCTGCATCGGCCCGCTAAAGTACCGAAGGGCGAAGAAATCACTCCGTGGAAGGAATCGGAACCAGCAAACGGGCCTAAGTACGGACATGTAGCAGTTCTCCCGCGTGGCAAGAAACAGACCGGTGGTAATGGGTGACGGAGGTAACCTCACTACCCCGCTTTCTCCCATCTCCTCTTCGTCTATTCTCTCCCTTCCTGATAAATTTTGCTATTTTTGCGAAGCAATTTCTCGCGTATACTTTGTCTCCATGTGCCCTAACGGGGAAGGGTATGCGGAATGGATAGACTGTCGACAGTGTGTCGCACGAGCTCATGGCTCGTGCATCCAATACCGGAACGACAGTAAACCATGGTTATGCCCCTTGTGTCGAGTTGACAAGATCCCGACCGAGGCTCGCTTTTTGGATGCCCCGTCAGAAGGATTGGAAAAGACCCGAAAGTTTAGCCGGGCCGAAGTATGGACCGACATCGCTTTGATTGCCACCTTAGTGGGTAACCCCCTCCAGGATTTCACCAAGGAAGATCGGAGGAGGGCTAACGAAAGGGCTCGGGATTATCGATGGGTCGAGGGTAGGTTAGAAAAACGGAAAACGAATGGCAGTGGGATTTGGATGGTTGTACCGCACCCGTTCATGAGGTATGACTGGGTGAAGACAACACATGAAGAAACGGCAGCCCATTTTGCCGTACGGATTACAGAGTCGGCTATCGAAAAAAATGAATGGTATTAGTTCAATATTCGAGACGATGTGAAATTCATCGTCGCAGACTGCCAAGTCTGCGCTGCTGACAAGGCGCCGATCCAACCGCCAAGATCGATAGTTCCAACGGTAGTTGAGCAGCCGTTCCAGAGGGTGAGTATGGATACCACCGATATCGTGGTACCCCCTGGTCCTAATAGTTGTGAATATTCAATCCTGTTGGTATTTGTCGACCATTTTTCGAAATGGATCGAGGCCTATTCGTGTAGCACACGACAAGCCGCCAAAATCGCGTGGTATGTTACCCGTTTTTTACGGATGCATCAGGATACGGAATAAATCCTGACCGATAACGAGGCTGAATTTAGAGGAGAAGTATTGAGGAACCTGGTCATACACGGTGTCGCTGTGCGGAATACCGTGCCCCATATGTCACAATCCAATGGGCTAGTAGAAAACGCAAATAGGGTGATAAAGACAGCGCTGCGACGAAACATCGCGGCACGGGATCCGAGACCCTGGCCCGATATCGTCGACCACATCCTAGCGGTCCATCGCGGAACGCCCCATGAATCGACATGCTTGAGCCCCTTCCAACTAAGGACCAATAGCATCGCTTGCGTTTCGATACCAAGCCTCCCTGACGAATCGACGATCAACCGCCGGCCTACAAGGGCCACGACACGGGACAAGGCCAAGCGACACTTAGAGTTAATGGAAGGTTCCCTCCCTAGGCTAGCCCGGAAACGCCAGAAAATGATCGAGTTGGCCCACGACCAACAGGTCTGAAGCTACGAGGCCCGGAACGGGAACGCAGGACCACGACCCCAGTACAAATTGGGGGACATCGTGCAGGTGAGGAAACGTGCTCGCCAGGGCAAGCTAGCGCATTGATTCTTCGGGCGATTCCGCGTGATTGAGCTCGGACCCAATGGTGTGAACATTGTGCGGCTTGCGCTTGAGGTCTCCGGCAGCCGGTCGGCTCGTCCGATCATCCGCCACGTGTCCTACCTTCGCCCCCTTCCTCCTTCCCCATCTTTGTAGTCGTCTGATTCCTCCTCCGTGCGGAAGAGGACGACGACTGCTTATCGCCTGCCTCTCCGTCTCCTTCTCGTTCTCTTTCTATTACTCCGTCTCCATCGCCATCGCCATGAGTTTTCTTGCGGAGCAAGCTCTCGGCAATCCTCTGCGGGTGCCACGGTGTCACATCTCGGCGATTCGACAAGTTCATCATCTGCGGCTCAATCCAGATCTCCGACGACTTGCGCAGTTCTTCTGTACCCAGGGAGTGTACGCGGCCGCTGAGTTTCGTTTTGCAGGTAGTCCCCGCGCGATTGTTTTAGCAGAGACGGTAGGAGTTCATCGGCGATCGGCTGCAGGAATCAGCCCCGTGTCTATGGTGGTCGCCTTTAGTGGCGACATCAGCACCATCAGCCCGCTGCGGCATAAAGCCAGCAAGACGTCGCTCCGACTCTGGGCGCAGTAGTTGGCGGCAGAGTGGAATCGTTGGCTTACGCCCCACGGAGATCACCTTTTTCCCACGGACGACGTCGATCTCGACGGGATCCGAACCTTCTAGCACGAGCCGACGGTGGTGCTTCCGGAACTGATCCCCTTCCCCCGTCCTCAATGAACCCAACCCCGATCTCCATTTTCGACCTCCCCTCCTTCTTTCCCACCTTCTGGCAGTCCGGAGTCCATCCGCATCTTTCCTTTCGACTGGAATCACTTGTTGTCCCCCTTCTCGATCCCCTGGAGTGGAGGCGTTGGCGAGAACCTTTCATTGAACTGTCGGTGTGTCTGGTCGGCGTAAGAGTCGCGTGGACGCGGCACGGGGATCACCGCCAGTGGGCCGAGTACCTCGAGCTGCTGATCATCCAAGTGTGGCGAACAAAAGTGGAGGGCGATCTGCACGGATTCCTCTTCGGATCGGTGCGGCCTGATCACCGCCAACCGATCGCGCATGAGTTAACGGTCCCCCTTGCGCGCCGACGATCTCAACCTCGAGATCGCCGAGCGACGACAGCCCGGTCCCGCACATCCTCACGTGGATCTTGGCGCCATATCTTCAGTGGTCGGCGTGCTTGGAGGAACCTGGAAGCGGCCGTAACCCACCGTCACAACGCGACTATCTGAACCCGCACGAGATAGTCGACCTTGCCTTCTTCCAAGATCGGACAGCTTCCGAGAATGAAGACATAGAGATTGAAGCGGAAGAAGAAGAAAGCTCAGAAGAAGAAAGCTCAGAAGAAGAAGAAGAAGAAGAAGAGGCCGACGAGGAAGAAACTCCCGAAGAAGGGAGTTACAGTGAGCACAGCGAGGGCGAGCAGAGTGAAGACGAGGAGGAAGAAGGGCAAGACGACGAAGAAGAAGACCAGGAGGAATTGAAGGAGTCGGAGTACGAAGGATTCGAGGAGGAAGTACGCGACGAGGCTCTGGTGCAGGCACAGGCGCAGAAGAGGGAAGAAATCGCAGCCGGGAAGAGACAGTTGGAATTCGCCAGCGCAGCCGGCTAGCCGCTCGCCGACGATCCGGCCCGGGATCCAGAGCCACCTAAGCCCGAGGATGGAGAGACAGTTGCCGAGACTTCGGCTGCACCAGCAAGACGGTGACGAAGCCGATCCCCCTCCCCCTCCGCCTCCGACCGCCCACCAACTCGTCCACGTACCGATGGGGGGCATCGGGCTTCGTCCCCAGTCCTTATCCCGTCGTCCCCTTGATCACCTCTCCTTCCACTAGATCACCACCCGCGTCACCTTCCCCGCCAATCCCTTCCCCATCGATACCTTCCTCTTCTTCTACACTACCCGCATCGTTGTCACTGTCCATCCCCACGCTTCCACCCGATGCGCCCTCCCCGTCTTCTGCCTCCATATCCTTTTCCTCAGTGCCGCATGGAGAGGCCATAATATGATCGAGGTATATTGCATGATTACGGGGACTATCCCCGCATGCGAGAACCACGATCATTTCCGCGCGGCCCTTTTTCGAAACTTTACCACCCTCTATCCCGACTACCTCGCATCCCTCCCTCACACTGGCAACCGATTCCCCCGCTTTCACCAGATCGTGCTACCTGGAACTTCCTGAGACGGTGGTCGGAATGGAGAGCTTCCTTCCCCCGTTGCCTATCAACCCTCCCCCTCGCCAACCCTCCATGTATTGTCTCCCCTTTCCCCTCCCCGACGCTCGCTGATGCATAACTAGTGGGCACGTGTCATGACGGCGACGCATGTAATCCCCTCTTTGGATTGTCAATGGCCCTCCCTGAGGAATTAGTAGTAGAGCAGTGTTGCCACGTTGGATGACGGTAAGTGGCATTAAGAGAAGAGCTCCGCGAGTCGATCGATTAGAGAAATCGACACGTGTCAACAAGCAAGCAGGAGCTTGCTAATATTGGAACCCCCTGGGTGTCACATATGTGACAAACCACTTTCTGTAGCGCGCGATTTTCTGCGCGATTACAATAAGGGGTCCTAAGCTCGGAAGGTTGAGCCAATTACGAGAGATCGGAATTGGAGGGAAATTGCATCGGTGCCCCCGTTTCTTCATCTTTTTCGTCGCCTCCTTTCGATGGTTGGGTTCAGGGCTGGGTAAGTCCCGGGATGATCGATTGATCGATTGGTTGTGTCTGCGACACGCTGTCAGGCGCGTGATTAATAATTGTTGACACCGTTTCTTTTGTTTCGGTTTCGAAATTTGGGCGCGGACATCGCGCGGGAATTTGCTTCGTTTTTTTTTTAATTTTCCTTTTGAAACCTTTTTCGAATTTTGTCGAGCCCCGATGGCTCTCGGAATTTCGAACTTTCTTCTCGGAATTTTGTGCTTTTTGCTTTTTGTATTAGATAGGAACTTAGGAATTTTGCAATTAGGACTTCTTTTGCCGCGCGGCGCGTTTTGCTTACGCGCTTCTTTATGCGGCTGCAACAGAATTCTGATTAGTCGGCGCCTTTAATCGGGTGTGTAACGGTAATTTTGGGTTGGCGCCATTGTAACTGTATAGTTCTTCTTGCGCTTCGTCTTTCCCGCCCTCCTTCTCTTTTTTTTACTGCGTTTTTGTAGCCACGGACTGCATGATCGGATCGATGCGCGGAGAGTGGCTACGTCCCCCACGCCGCGGCCCGGTCATGCAGAACGCAGGCGCTCCCTCTCTAATCCTCTTTCCCAAATCCTTGTAATTCCGTGTTCTTCGCGTAAGCATGCATGCTATAAATTCCGATTGCGCGATTAGTTAGCTCTCTTAACCAGCTGTTGGAAGCTCGGGGTTGCGCAATCAGAGAGGGTCGGCACATGAGCGAAGTAAGAGGTGAGTAGAGCAGGAGTTGGGCGACCCGACGGGCTGGTGCCAAACGCACGGGGTTGACGCGGGCCACGACGGACTGTGGGCGCGGGCGAACCTGACGGGTGCGGGAGGACTACGCGGGGTGACGGCTTCGTGGGTTGGTGCTCGACGACGGACTGCCCGCATTAGAGAAGAAAAGAGAGCGAGAGAGAGAGTTGAGGTTGATGGACGTGGATTTACAGTTTCTTTGTCTTTCTCCGCCTCCCTGCCTCTGTATATAAATTTTGATTTCGGCTCCAGGTGATATACCCGTTTTCTGTTTTTCGGAATTCGGACTTGGATTTTGCTCACACTTGTCTTCGCGACCTCTATCTTAGATGTATTGTGTGTATGTTGCTGAATGAATGAATGTATGGATGCAATGTTTGATCACTTATCTTTCTATCGGATCCTTGCCTTTGTCTTTGATTGTTGCATTTGATGCACTTGCAAGTAGGATAGGAATTTTGCGCGATCGGTAATCCTTTCTTCGTTTTTGCTTGCCTTTTGATTGGGCGGTTGTGGCTGTTGCATCTTGCATGCTCAAAAGCCATAGGGCGACCAGATCCAATAATCGTCGCGCGAAGACGCGACCTGATTGGCGCCTCTACACGTGTCCCCGTGCGTCGATTCGACAAAGGCGGAAATACTGACTGATTGAATACAGCCATCCGAGGTCTGCGACGGATCAATCATCCCGAGCGAACACGAGTAAGCGCGAATCAATTCGCACAAGCCTGCACGTGCTCGCCCGCGGAGATCGCAACCAACACAGACCCGCCCTTAGGCATCTCGTAGCTCTGCGATGACACAACGACATGCTCGGAGAGCTCGGAGGCGTTGACATACGACCCAAACTACTTCACCCCTTGGATAAACGAAATCCTTCGACAAAGATACCCTTGCCTAACCGAGAACTGACTGTGCCCTAGGGAATTTCACTGCGCCACCACTAGCGACCCCCGGTGCTCTGATTTCCCCACGCAGGACCACACCCACTACTCCACCCACCCCAAAGGGACTTATCCGCAAACCGCCGACCTCTGAACCAATGGCTCGCTTGGCCTTGAGCGACCCGCGCATACCATCGGCCTTGTGACCAAAGGCGGGCGCCAAATTGCAACCGTGCCCCCAAAAAACCCTGCCACAGGAGATCTCAGTTCTAACCTGGGACTCCACCCCCACTTTCCCAAAAATCCTTGGCACACCCCTTTTCGCACTTCCAGGAACACATCCTACTCCGATCAGGAAGTCGTGCTGGGCGTGAGGTTAGGGCGTCACAATACGTCGTACGGTCATTATAGCTCGATTTAGACTGAAAGATGTGTCAAATACAGCTATAATGACTGTACGTTGTATTCGGGGGGAAGAGGGTACTCTTATGTATAATAGGGGGAACACTAACCAACCCGGATCTCTCCTCAGCCCACGGGGTGGGTTGGCACCACAGCTGTGGTGCGAGAGCAAGGCTGTACCAGTCCCTCATCATTGTGATGAGGGGTGGGCAGGCATTGGTGATGGGGGAAATCGGAGGCGCTAGAGGGGTGGGCAGGCATTGGCCATGGGGGAAATCGGAGGTGCTAGTGCGGGGCAATGGCCAGTCACTGCACCTCCCCATACCCCCCTACCCCCCCCTCCCGCCCCCTTTCCCCACCCCAACCCCGCATGGCCGTGTCTAATGGCCAATATTGTTGTTCCAAAACAGCCAACAACATCAGCCAAGGTTCTGCCAACGCTGGCGTGGGGGCCCAACGGGGTATCTCTAGCTGGTAGAACGCCAAGCTTGCCCAGGCACATACGTGAGGCGAAGGGGATCGAACCCTAGCTGGTAGAACGCCAAGCTTGCCCAGGCACATACGTGAGGCGAAGGGGATCGAACCCACGCCCTCCTAAATGCAACTTCGGTGCCTATCTTTTGCGCATTCGGTGAGTGGCTACGGCTCGGTCCCGTCCGGTCCCCGTCCCGTCCGGTCCCGGGCCCTCCCGTCCCGTCCCGTCCGACACCCTTGTCGTCCTTCTTCGCCGCCCTATGGGTCTGATATGACAGGATGCGGGGGTCTGATATGACAGGATGCGGGGGGCCTGTGACTGGTCGCCCGACGCGATGTCGAGCTACCGGCAGGCAGCCATCGCAGCAGCAGAGGGGAGGAGGAAGAGCAATAGCAGCAACGGGAGGAAGATGAGTGAGAGGAAGAGAGGGTAGGGGCAAAACGGACGCGAAACGGAAAGACGAAGACGAGGGTAGGGGCAAAACGGAAAGACGAAGAAGAGAAGGGAAGGGTAGTGAAGCGTGAGGCGGCGAGGGATGGCGACTCCTCTTGATGCAAGTCTGGAGCTCAACGGTCATGATAATCACGAGGAGCATCAAAAGAACGAGGAGCTAGGAGAGAAAGCGGCGGCGGCGGCGGCGGCGGAGGAGGAGGAGGAGGAAGCTGATCTGATTCGGGAGTTCATGGTGGACATGAGCTGCGAGCGGTGCGCTGTCCCCGTCCGCAAACAGCTGACCTCACTGCCACGTGTCAAGTCCTTCGAGATCCACGTGCCCGATCAGGTTGTCCGTGTTTTGGGTACATCAACCCTCAAGAGTTTGGAACGGGCTTTCGAATTGGCGGGAAGAAAGTGTCGACTGATTGGCCAAGGATCGCCTGAGCTGTACGAGATATCTTCTGCCGTTGCAGAATTCAAAGGCCCAGAGGTCTTCGGAGTTGTTCGATTTGCTCAAGTATCTCAGGAGTTAGCGAGAGTGGAGGCTGTGTTTGATGGATTGACAAAGGGACTAGGAGGAGGAGGAGGAGGAGGAGGAGGAGGAGGATGTGAAGGAGGAGAAGGAGGAGGTGAAGGAGGAGGAGAAGGAGGAGGAGGAGGATGTGAAGGAGGAGAAGGAGGAGGTGAAGGAGGAGGAGAAGGAGGAGGAGGAGGAGGAGGAGGAATTCATGGGTTGTCGATTAATGAGTATGGCGATCTGACTAATGGTGCAGAGAGCACCGGCAAGTGCTATGGATTCAGAGGCGATGGCGGGCTTTCCGTCTCCGAAGAGCCACTGGGATGGCTGGGCAATTTGAAAGCCGACAAAAATGGGCATGCAGAGTACGTACGGACGTGTAAGAATCTGCATGTTGCTGATCTGATTGGCAGATCCGTTGTCGTATATGAAAGGGAGGGAGTTCGAGGGCCGAGGTTGACGGCAACGGTAATTGCGCGGAGTGCGGGGGTCGGGCAGAACTACAAGAAGATCTGTCTCTGCGATGGAACTATTATTTGGGACGCGACGAATAAGTTATGATTTTTTTTTTCTTAATTTTTTTTTTTTTTTTTTCCCAGTGATTGTTGTGGGGACCAAAAAAAAAAGAAAAAAAGAAAAAGCTGTGATTTCCCTTTTTGAATGATCGCGGCGGCGGTCTAGTGTCATGCGAAGGAAAAAAACGCGGGGATGAAAAGAAATGGCGGGGAAAAGGAAAAAAAAAGGGAAGAAATCTGTTACGTTTTGGGGCAACGAGATGTTGTTGATGATGACGATGATGAGGATGATGAGGATGATGATTAGATATGCGGATGGTGAAAGTCGCGATCGGGACGAATGGGCGGAGGAAATTGCGATCGCGACGGCATTCTCGGAGGGCAGCGAGCAAACAAGCTGTGATTTTTCTCTTTTTTTGTTCATTTTTTTTTTCTGGTGTTGTATGTCTCGATCGCGGCAGTGTTAATCTGTCATGCGAATCTGTAAAAAAAAAAAAAAAAAAAAGGACCCTGTCACGTCTTCTACGACGAGATTGATGTAATTGTTCTTTGTTGATGATGATGATGACGACGATCCCGGCGCTGCGGAAGTCGCGATTCACACGATTTGATGGGGAGATCGGTAGGTATCGCGATGGCGGGCTGAGGGATGCGCGTCGAATGAGCAGGCTGAGTCTCCCGACTGTCATCGCTGTTCTCTGTCACTGACTCTTACATCGAGAAAATGGTGATGGTGGCGGTCCTCCTGCTGCTCCTGCTGCTGCTGCTGCTGCTGCTGCTGCTGCTGTTGATGATGATGATGAACTTGTGATCTTTTGATGACAATGGCCGCCATGGCGAAGGTGAACGGTCCACCTGGACTATGTTTTTTTCTTTCTTCGTTTTTTTGGACTATCTTTTTTTCTTTCTTCGTTTTTCGTTGTTTTTTTTCTTTCTTCGTTTTTCGTTGTGCGTGTTGTTGTGTTTTGTGAATGCCATCCGTATTCTTCAGTGGAGCAGACCTGCCGAATCTAAGCCGACAACATGACCATGCAACACACGTGTGAGATGAAAGAGAGGTGGGAGAAAAGACATACAAGAAGAATAGTCAAAACCCCCGAGTGCAGTGGAGCCACGTTGTCGGTGGCGATGGCGATAGCGACGACGATGACGACGTCGATGACGACGACGATGACGATGACGATGACGATGATGGCTATGGCTAAAGCTATGGCGATGGCGATGGTGACGCGTGATGACGATGATGGCGATGGCGATGGCGTACAAGCTTGAATGCGACGGCGATGACGATGACGATGATGGCTATGGCGATGGTGATGGCGATGGTGATGCGCGATGACGATGATGGCTATGGCGATGGTGATGGCGATGGCGATGAGCGACGACGAGGATGACTATGGCGATGGCGATGGCGTACAAGCTTGCATGCGATGGCGGTGTCTCCGGAGGTGGTTGTGGGGAGGGAAGGGGGAGGAGGAGAAGGAGGCTGATGGGATGCTCGTGATCGCGATGAGTGATATCTTCAACGCGATGGTGGCGTTGACGGATAATGTTGTTTTCGATTTTTATTATAATTAATGAAAATTATAATTAATTAATTAGTAATGACGTAATAATTTATTTATTGGACAGTTCTTTCTTGCTGAGAACAGTACATGCGGAGAAGTAATGATGACCTAATCGATGCTTGTACGAGAAGCAGTCTATGGCCAATTTTTCACTATTCTTCTTCTTCTTCTTCTTCTTGGCCGTTTGGTTGAGCGTGCAACTCCCATGAGGGAGGTCGCGTGTTCGATTCTTCAAGATCGGATCATGGACGGAAAAATGAAAAATGAAATTCTTCTTCTTCTTTTTTTTTTTTTTTTTTTTTTGTCGCCACTCCTTTCCCTGATGCAGCCTTTTTTTCTCCTTTTTTTATTCCTTTTTTTTTTTTCCCCCTTTTCTTTTCCCTTTTTTTTTCCGCTTTTTTTTTTTTCAGTTTGATGTTCAGGCGGGCGCGGCCGTCGGCAGCGAGGATGTTTCACTGGGTACTAAAAAGTGAAACACGATAGCACTGGTTTTTTTTTTTTTTTTTTTTTTTTTTTGCCCCAATGTACATGTAAAAAATACGATCTTTATATGTAGTATGTATCTTTAACTTCGAATAAGTTTGTGTCCTCAAGAAAGAAAGAAAATTTATTTAAAAATACGACTTTTATATTCAATATGTGTTTTTTCTTTGACTTTGAAAAGCTCGTGTCCTCAGAAAAGAAAGGAAAAAAAAGAGGGGAAAACAGAGGGGGAAAAAGTGGAAAAAAAAGAGGGAAAAAAAGAGGGAAAAAGGAGGGAAAAAGAGAAAATAAAAAGAAAAAACTTCGTGCAGATACGCCTTTTTCCAGATGACGAAAACGCCAGCTGAAAAAAGTAAGATGGCGAAAACGCCAGCGCAGTGGAGCCCAGACTCAGGGTGTACTTCTTTCTGGGAGGAAGGATTATCTAGGATGTATGTGACCGCGAGTTTGGTCAGATTCTGTCCAAAACGTCTATGTGTGAGCCCGGCCTCACTGAAATCATGTTTTACTAGTCGGAAAAATCAACATTCCTTTCTTTTTTTTTTTTTTCTCCTATTTTTTAGGAGAGGCTCAATTTGAATCTGCTTTTTCGGATGTACTGGTTCAACATTCACCTGCGGTTCTCGGCAGACCAATCAGATTCACTAGAAAATTGGGGAAAAAGGAATGGAGGGATGAACATAGGCCGAGTTGCGTGCTAAGTGCATTTAATCAATGGAGGGGTGCACGTAGTCCGAGTTCCCCGCTAAGTTCATGCATTCAAAATTCGAAATGCTCGGCTGGGCCTCGCTACACTACTCACCACAACACACACACACACACACACACACACACACACACACACACACACACAGGGGCAGACTGTCGGGGTTCAACCTCCTGATGAGTCCGTGAAAGTCCGACGAAACAGTCTGTTCGGTACAGTCATGCTTTTTTTAAGTGTATAGCGAATATGACAACACACACACACGAAAACAAAATCAGTTTTCTGTATATATTCCTTTCCCGTTTTCTCTAAGCATTTCCTAGTTGTCTAACCGAGCACCTTCACGTTGTGCCAAACAGTTGGTGGCTGCTTGTTTGGAGTTCCTACAACACTATCAGGGGGGCCGCTCTGTTTGTGATGTCTGCGTGTTCCATTGGTGATGACGGACGTTCATCGGAGTGCTTCCCCAGCCCAGCAGGTGGTGGGAATCAACAGTCTGTGGGGTTGTTCTTGTGGTGTGAGTAGGTCTTCGATGACTTTGCTCCATGCTGGATGTTTGGACTGCTGCCTTGCTGCCCCTTCCCGCTTGCTCCTCGTGTCATTCTTTGCAGCTTGCTCCTCGTGTCATTCAACACCTACTCACACCACAGCTGGAAGAATGACACGAGGAGCAAGCGGGAAGGGGCAAGCAGGAAGGGGCAGCCTGGTCTATGCTCCACAGCTGCCTTGCTGCCCCTTCCCGCTTGCACCTCGTGTCATTCTTTGCAGCTGGTGTCTTGCTGTGCAGTTTGGCTGCATTGTTGGTGTTGCTGTGTGCTTCGCTGCGCTGTTCCCTTTGCTGTCCATTCGTGTGCCTTGCGTTTTTGCGTTTGTGATGTTCAGTTTTGCTGCTTCTGCTGTTGCTTTGCTGCCAGTCCCCTTGTGTTGTCATTCCATGCAGTTAGTTTTGAGTCTTTTGACGATTCGCAAAAAAAAAAAAAAAAAAAGGGAAAAAAAGAAGTTTTGAGTCTTTTGACGATTCGCAATTCGGAGGCCACGGCAGTGTTGCTTGGTGCTTCACTGAGTTGTTGCCTACTGCCGCTATGCTCCTCTTGGGATGTTGCTGCCTACTGGCAGTCTGCTTTCAACAAGGGTCAAGGGTTTCATGATCCGAAGCATCAATATGGGGATCTTGCAGATTGTCCAGGGGGTTCAGCCTCCTGATGAGTCAGTGCAAGCAGGACAAAACAACCTGTGATCTGTGTGTCCGAAAACGGATTCAACGGGGGATCACCGTTGAAAAATTCAACGCGCGTTGAATGTGCGTTGAATTCCCATTGAAACGCCCGTTGGACGGGTATAAACAGGGTCCGCGATGATTTTTTTCCTGGGCTAAATGTAATCCAAAAAACAAAAACAAAAATGGGGTTCGAGGACTACAACCCCATATTTTTATTTTTATTTTCTGAACTTTTGAGTATTGCAAGGAATATGAGTGTGAGCGATATACATAAAACCAAGTTGCGAAATCACACAGCTGAGCAGGTAGTAGTATCCCAAGTAGAGAGTACAAATGCACCGAGAAAACCATCCATAAAGAGCAATACAATGAAGTATTGAGCCAATGTCCAAGCCTGTAGGCCACACCAACAYAGTATCCAGAGTCGCTCTCTCTGTYYGGCGCACAGCGCCCAGCCTACTCTACCATACTATCCTACTCTACAGCTGGTTCACACAACAGGATCACTTCGGCTCACGAAGACCAATGTACATGACTGTCCACACCATCGGCGACCTCTCTTCATGTACCAGGTACGTATCTCGTCACCCTCAATCAGACCTTGATTACCCCACACAGCGCCTCACTCCCTGAAGACCACCCGATCATCCGCTGTACCCCCTGGCGCCTAGCAGCCCGGCTATGGCCGCCTGCGCCCAGCTGCCCTGCAGCGCCCCACCTCACCTCTCACGCCCGTCAGCGCCCTTGGCAGCAGCGCAGCAGCACTTCCGCATTGCCAGCCCTGGCCAGGATGCCTGGCCTGGGCTGCCTCACTTCCTTTATGGAAGTGGCAGCCTGCTGCATGCTGCGTGTGGCCTGGCTGGAAGCTTCCACAAGCTTCCGGTTGGGCCTCAGACTCTGTGCCCAGGCCGAGGCTTACAGTTGAGGGCCTGGGCCCTTTACAGTTGGGCGCGGCCTGAGTCTGAGGACTTGGGCTGTTAGCTGCATCTGCGCAGGGCCCCCAGTAGGTGCGTCAGCTGTACTGCTTTTCCAAAGGCCGACGGCCTGCTTCTCAATGTATTGGCCCTGCTTTGGTGTATAGGTGCCCAGGCACAACTTTCGAGGCCTGAGCCAACTGTATGGCGCAGCTTAGTGAGGCTCGCGCGTTCACTCAACCAACTGACGCGCTGCAAGAGCCTGAATACCCACATATGGAAATGTCGAATTTGGCCTGTGACGAATATTCAGGCCCGCATTCACTTAGGGCGGGCACTTGGCTTGCTGGGGCCTTGGCCCAGAACAATGTGATGTCTGATAGGGCCACTTGAGGGCTTGTTCCTCACAGTATATTTAAAAAAAAATCAAAAACATAAACACAATGAAAATAAAATAAAATGAAATGAGTGTTTTTTTTTTGGGTTTCACTGTTTCACAGAGATTTTTTAAGGGCTAAAACAAAAACAGAAAAACAAATAAAAAATATAGGGTTTCAAATCTTTCGAAGATGTACAACAACTTTTTTTTTTTTTTTTTTTTTTTAACTTCGTGTGTTTAAAAAAAAAATCGAAACCATAAAAACAAATTAAAAAAGACACGCACACACACACACACAGACACAGACACAGACACAGACACAGACACACAACACACACAAACACATAAACACACACACACACACAACACACACAAACACACATAAACACACATACTCACACATGCACACAACACACACAAACACACAAAAAAACTGGGGGCGGTGGGGGTTGGGGGATGGGGGATGTGGGCCCAGATTTTGGGGGGTGGGGGTTGGGAGATGTGGGGGCAGATTTTTTAGGGTTTGGCTGCAGTACTCACTAAGTCTCTCTCTCTCTCTCTCTCTCTCTCTCTCTCTCTCTCTCTCACACACACACACACACACACACACACACACACGCACACACACACTCACGCAGCATACTGCTAAGCTTGCTTATTATCTGTTGGTCCTACCCAAAGTGGGATGTAGACTGGGCCATTATCACAAAATGGAGAAAAATAGGGCTCCTTATACAACAAAAATGGCAGCATACGTATGCCTCTGGTAATCTAAAGACCCAGTTAAAGACATAATAATATCTGACCAAATTGCCATATCATAGCTACCTACCACAAAGTGAAGAGTTGGTATCTAATGGCTATCTCAACAACACAACAGTTAACAGCTGAAAGTTCTAAAAATTAGTAAAAAACAAATAAATAATAATAAACGGAAAATTTTTAAAAAGCTTTTTTTTTTAAAGCAAATTTGCTCCAATCTATTGGTGGGGAGCAGCACGTGCTGGGAACCGGGCCCAGCGTCCCTTATAATGGAAATACATTGGTCAAAAAATCTTTTTTTTTTTTCTGGAAAGCAGTCACTGTTAATATGTAGTGTTTGCAGAAAAGTCCCAAAACGAAAATCACCCGTACAGGTATCTATAGTCCCCAGGGAAAGGCAGGCTGCCCAATTTTTCTGAAACCATTTAACTCCGGACCGCAAGCTCCCTGTCTTTTTTTTTTTTTTTTTTTTTTTTTAAGCCCTCTTGTGAGGCCTCTATCCCAGGGGCCAAGTCCCACTAGCGAAGAGTAAATCGGTGTGTGACACATTTTTCGGATTTGAAAAATGCCGATGGAGGGTTTTCTCTGTTATTTTGTTTTCGTAAATGATTACAAATAAAATAAAAATATAGGTCTCGGCAATAATGACTGACAACCGTCATTATTGCACAACTGCCGCGCACATGGGATGCATGTGACCGGGCGGCCGGCTCCCATGTACGAATGGTACAGAACATTTTGGGTAAGTGCGCCTCCACATATCCCCCGCCCTATGAACCCCGGTTTCAAGTGAAAACGATGAGGCCGAAGTTGTGCCCGCCAACCTTTCCATTTGTGGGAAGCCAACTCGTTGGTGCATTGGCCATCGTGTCGAATGGGAGGGGAAGGGCCGAGCTTCCCCTCCCATTCCCTTCGTTCGCCCTTAGGACCTGGCTGTCCACCCGGGTGTAGTGCAAAGGGTTCGTGGCACACTGCGGTTGTCACCCTGGGACGGGCCCCGAGTCCATCAGTGCTTGGGGTTCGGGTGGTGGTTAGGGGTGGGTTCCTGAGACCCTTCGCCACGGGGTTCGAAGTCTTTTGGTGCCTCCACCCGGTGTCCAAGCCATCGCCTCCCGTTGGTGTGCAGCAACAGTCATGCCGCGACTCGGGAGGAGACGGCGGGAAGAGCTTGCTGTTGTGGTGATGGCCATTGCTGGCAGGATGGCTGAGGATGCCTTCAAAAGTCTCGATTCACTGCTCGGCAACCACACATGCAGACCGTTGCTGTTGGGCCGGGACGATGACATGGCGGGGACGACTCTTGGAGAAGACGATGACGACCAGACACGGGGACGGCGTAGTCTGGTTTGGTTGTTGCCAACGATTTATGACATCTGCAAGCTATCGCCACGGGCCTTGCCTAGGTGGTGGGTAATGCGGCGGGCAGCCGGGTTGTGGAAAGACCTCGTTGCCGCGGATGACGCCGAGAACGACCATTACTTGGGGCTTCTACGCATGCGGCGGTCCATTTTCAACAGGCTGCTGCGTAAGGTGGGCCCCCTTTTAGAGAAACAGGTGACGAAATTCAGATTGCTGTTGCCGCCAGCTAAGAAACTGGCGTATGCTCTTGACAGATGGGCCCACGGAGACGGGCACTGGCACAGTTCCTCGGGGTACAGTATGGGGAAAACCAGTGCCTTGCAGGCCGTGCGAGAGGTGGCGGAAGCCATTCACGCGGCGTTCCCGAACGTCGTCGGTTTCGGTGGACTGGAGGAGCGTCACCGTCGAATGCAGCGGTTTAGGGCATTGGGTTTCCCCAATTGCTGGGGGTGCATTGACTGCACTCACGTGTATGTCGACAAGCCACGATCTGCCGACGGTGACGACTACTGCTCTGGGCGTAACAACAGGTTCTTTGTCGTTGCGCAACTCGTTGTCGATTCGGAGCTGCAGATCCTGGACTTCTGCTACGGCTTCCTTGGGACGGTTGGCGATGCCTGGGCTCTAAAGAACACCTCGCTGTACAGGCGAGCCCTTAAGGGTTCCTTGTTCGTTGACCTCCCCGACGACCCGTTCCGTGCAGAGAGGCCTTCGATCCCCAGTGTTCTTGGTGGATACTTGCTCGGTGATGGCGGGTATCCCAATCTACCTTGGATTGTCATCCCCTATGGCCAACAGCCACACCTGACGAGGGCGATGCAACGTTTCGACGCCCTTCACAAGATTGTGAGGTCTTGGGTCGAGCGATTTTTTGGAGTTTTCAAAATGCGTTTCCAGTACTCCTATAGGCCGCATATAACGGACATGTCGAGGGAGAAGTTGGAGTTGCGGGCGTGTTGCATCATCCATAATCTCCTACAGGCTTGGGGAGATATGCCGGAGGTGGACGGCGAACTCAGCGATGCGTCGTCTCCTGACGGTCCGCCTCCGGATGTTGACCTGCGTGTGGACGGTGCCCCTCTCGAGTATATGTTTGGCAGGGAGCGTGGTCAGGCCGTGCGGGACGCACTGTGCACATAGGTTGTTCGTTTGTGGGAACTCCAGAGACGGCAGACTGCCATCCATGGCGGGCACCGAGCAGCGCAGGGACTACGCGTACAAAAGGCGTGCACTCATCGAATGTATGGAGAGGACAGAGATGGAGGTTGAGCGGTTGCACCGGTTCTTGGTCCATAGGGGAGACAGCATCACGGTCACATTGCGGAGTGGGAGGATTGTACACACCACTGACATATCCCTGGAGAACATACATGCTCGTAGGTGGGCGTCTTCAGTGTTGAAGAGGTTGCGGGAGTCGCGTGACGCTATACGGCAATGATGTGACGATCTTGTCGTGAACAACATGCAGATACGACGTCAGGTTGATCGATGGAGACGTGCGGCAGACGACACGCGACAAAGATTTGAGCATGCTTCCCGTGCTTAAGATGATGTTGTGCAGCAGAGGGACGATGCCATACCTAGGTTGAAGTCCACTGAGGCAGACTTGAGGGTGGCACATTCTCAAGCAGAAACGACATGGAGGTTTTACGAGAACCGCGCCGTCTTGTTGGAGAAGGATAAGGAGATTGCGACGCTGCAATTCCAAATCGATATGTACCAATACCCACCTGCGTTTTGGGAAGAGTGTGATAGGGAGTTGGCAGAGTATTGTGAAATGACGGGTTTAACACAGACACCCCCTAACTTGCAATCATCGTAGAGAGAGATAGATAGATAGAGA